TGTTTCGATTTCCTGAGTGTTATTGCTATATTGCAGATATTATACATCTCTGACAAAACTAGATAAGTAAAATTTAAAGCAGCGAAAAGATTAAAAAAGAAAGAATTAAGAACATCGTTATACTAATTTCAACTTATCGAAACTTTTCAAAATGAACATCCAATTTCATTTAACTTTCCTCCCTTAAATTTAACATAGACAATTCTTTTTATTTTACATATAACATTCGCAGATCAGTCATTACCCTGTACGTACAACAAATTCGAAACAGAAGAAAGCTAATTAAATTGTATAATTATTGAAACAGGTTTTAGCCCTCTATCAAATCTGTGTAACATATTTCTGTTTCGACAATTGCCTATGTATCATGAACCTCCACGTGGCCTCCCAGTTTCGCATACTACAGTATAGATTAGCACACTTGAGGTGTATTTACGAAAAACGAAATTCTGTCGGTGGCTTGAAAATCTGTGCGATAATGCCGACAAAGGATGTCTACGGTACGTTAAAAAGATATGTCCACCAGCACCAAGTGCTTATCGCGTTTTGCAAAAAGCTCGAGGAGATATTCAATCTGGTGGTGTTGGGAGACATACTCGCATTTAGTATTGTGATCTGCCTGAACGGGTGCCAAGCGCTTATGGTTAGTATATAGACAGTGTAATATCTTTTATCCAATTTTATTTTAATTACGTTAAACGGGATATCAATTTGTTATTATCACAAATTAAAGGCAGCGATCATCGAATTTTACTTATTTCTACGATATGTCGTTCAGATAGATTCTGCAAGACGCTTCATTTTCATATTTTTCCTGCTCACCTCATTTGTCCATCTCTTGATGTTCACCTACAGCTGCGACGTCGTAATGCACGAGAGTCTGAAAGTTGCTGCAGGAATTTACGATTCCCCGTGGTGTTACTTGACGTTCAATGATCACGGAAGAATGCTACGGAAAGACGTCGTACTCATCATCATGAGGTGCAAATTTCCTTGCTGCATAACAGCCCGAAGGTTCTTCCCTGTAACCTTAGAAACATACACAAAGGTAATTTCAATGAGACTATTTGACAAATTTTAGCTTTAGGTTGCACTTGGTTGCACCTGTCGTGCCGTTTTACCTTTTGCGGGCGTTCAGATGCATCCTGCCTCGCGCTGTTTTACCGGTTATTGTTCCGATCACCGTTTTAGAACTCGAAGAAAAGGGGCAACGTCGTGATATGTACTTACTATGTACATGTCACATATAGCTAAATCTAGAATCTACAGGGTGTCCCAAAATTATGGTACTTTTGGGAAATGAGGGGTTCCCGAGGTCATTTGAAGTAACTTCTTCCTTAGCGAAAATGCAATCCGCGGCTTTGTTTGCGAGTTATTAAGGAAAAACGGGAACCAATGAGAGACGAGATCAGCTGACGCGAGGCGTCCGAGAGAATGCGTGCGCTCATTGGTTGGACAGCCTCGCGCCAGCCGAATTCGGCTCTCGTTGGTAAGTGTTTTTGTTCAATAATAACTTGTAAAGAAAGCAGCGGATTGCATTTTCACTGAGGAAAAAGTTACTTGAAATTATCTCAGGAACTCCTCACTTCTGGATTGTGAGACATTTTTGGGACACCCTATACATATATACCGAGTAATAAGGGCAGTTACTGAACAGCTGCGGTTTAAATATTACCGTTCAAGCGTTAAACATCGTCGAAGTTGAAAATTTGAATATTTTATGAAAAATAAATATTTTCAATAATCACTCACGAGTAAATAAATCTACAAGCTTACAAATTCAAATTTGCAAATTCAATTTCACTTTGCAATAACAGTTTACAAGTTTACTTACTTAAAGTTTACCTAAGTTGACTTAAGTTTAATAATTCTTCTTTATAAATTCAAAATGACAAATCCAAATGAATGTTGAAAATCAAAAAGATTGTGCCAGCTACGTAGAAATATATCATTTACTAAGTGTAGACTCTAGGCAAAGATTTATTGCGAAATATCTCGAGTAGATAATCAAAATAGAACGCGATCATGTTATTGCATTTGAGAATAGATGCAACGTAACATGTTTGCGGTGCGACAGATATTTCAGAACTCGGGGCATGGTTTCCTCTGATCCCATATGTTTAAAACGCTCAATGTGTGCACGAAAATTACACGCATTTCACTTTTTTACAGGTATGGAGTACAGCAGCTTCCTACTTCACGCTGTTGAGACAAACGTTGGACGACATGGCACATGTTTAATTCCACATTGTCGATAACAACAAATATATATATACATATATAACACTAGAACTATCAGACGAAGTAAAATAATTTCTAATTTCTTCCCTCACAATTGTTGAAATTGTATAAATATTTTTTTGAGAAATTTTTTAATAATCCTCTTCATTTAAGCACGTATTATAACAAACATCGTACAAGACCCGACTAAATCCAACCTTGTCCGATTATTATGCTACAATAGGTAGGTATATAATTTTGTATGAATTTTGCAGGTGTTCCACAAAAGTGCAAACACTTAAAAATTATTCTGCAAATTATTATACAAATTTTCCGTGCGCATATGTATTTAATCAAATCTCTCAGATAATTTGCAATTTGGTTCTGCTGAATATATTTGATATCCATTAAAATGTCCTAGCAGCAGGTTATGTTGTTGCGTTATGTCGCTGTTTTATACAATGAAGTGTAACGAACGCTATGAATTATTTTTCAGCTAATTTTATTATTCATTATTCAATTCATCGTTCGAAGAAATATTAGGTCTACCGGAAAGTTCTGCCCGTTTGAGAAATGAAAGGAAATCATAGATTTTTCATAAATTTAGTAATATTTATTGTACAATATAATTTCCATCGTTACTTATGACCTCTTGCCAACGTGGTGGCAATTTGTGAGCAACATTTATCAAAAATATATGTCTCAAATGAACATGTGCATATCTATCGAAATTTGCAATGACATTATCAGACAGAACTTTCCGGTAGACCTAATATATCATTTTCCAAACAAATGGCTCTAATTGAAACATTTCTTTTTGCAAATGCGTCAGAAGAAAGATATCGCAAATTGAGCATTCTCGTGTACCTCGCGAGAAACATTTGGAACAAATAAATTGATCTACTCACTAATAATAAAAATTGATAATAATGTTATAATAATAATATTAATATAATATATTATATATTAATTTATTATAATATATTTATATATATATATATATATATATATATATATATATATATATTATTATTATTAGTATGTTATATTTATTATTATTATATATATATATTATAATATATTATATAATAATATTAATAATAATAATAAAATAATAATTGATCTACTCACGCGTCGATAACAGATTCCGATTACAATTCATTTTCCCGATCTCCGAAAGCACAAGTTAGCTGCCCGACGAAGTTGAACAATGTAACGACGATGTTGAACAATGTCGCGACGAAGTCCACCTTCTCTTTTGAATATATGTAGTCGGTCGCATTACAAAAGATATTTCATTTTGATCGAATACTTAATTTCGCATTTTGCATTCGCTTTTCTCTCGGCCATGCATCATGTAGTCGCAATCGGCATGCACAATGGGTTTGATAATACCAGTTCAAGTACGATGCATAACTTATAATAATACGTTTTTCACGTTCCTCTTCGGTGAACGACTGCGTGGAAGCGGTAATAAAAATGAATGCAAAGTATATAGTCGGTGAATTTATAATGGAACTGCAGCAAATCAAAGCGACTAGAAAATGACTGAATTGATGTAAGTATACCGTCATAATGAGGGCTGGACTGTAGTCTACGGAAGATCAATGTCAGAGCCTGTCGTTCAGTCGTTCAAAACTGAAGATGCTCGGGGTGCATACTGACGATTTTTCAATCGCTGTTACGTCGTTTTTCTTGAAGGTCACCGGTCTATGGTCCTACAAAACTCGAACAGAACAATGGTCTAGAAATTTCGCCGCGTTCTACACCGTCTTCTTGATGTCGCTCTCTCTTCTCGTGCAGTCGACAGAATTCTTTCGTGACCTCGACTTTAGTGTAAGTGATTAGTAGTAAGCTCATCAACATCGATTGCACGAAATCTGTCTACACCTAGATATTGTAGTTATATTCTCTGAGAAATAAGAGAACGATTTTCCCATATACCTGCATTTATGATTGCCGGTTAAATCAGTAAGTATTGAACAATCGAATACGATAAAAGTCCGCGAAAAATACTTAGCAGCGAATATTTTAAAGCGCGCAGCGTTCTTTAGCCGATTCGGTAAGGAAGTAAATATCGTAAATTCTTCCTAATTGATGCTCGGATTGTGCAAAAAAATGGACAATTTTGGCAGAAGAGATACGATTGTTCGAGCCTTGCGGCTCGTTTTTATAGTCACCGATTGTCAACAACTGCAAAAACGAGTCGCAAAAATTGTCCATTTTTTTATGCATAAGCTAAGAGTCGATTAGAGAGAATTTACTGTACTTATCAATGAATTTCTAACTATAATATTCGCGCTTTTCCCGAAAGAAATTTTTATTATCGGTATACGTATAATAGTTATCAACATTATTCGCAGGCTATTTTATACTCCCTTGTCAGCTTTCTAAGCGTGACTAATGGACTATTCAAGACGCTTGTGCTGTACTCACATAAAAAGGACTTTCTGATACTAGTGGATCACCTGCGACGACAGTTCTTGTATTCGGATTACAACACCTACGAGAGAACAATGGTGAACGCAACGAAGAATACTTGCGCGGTTTTCATCGGTCTCTTCACCTTCTTTACGCACATAACGGCATTTTCCTATATCTTAGGCCCATTGCTCAGTAAGTCGAATCGAATGTTTAGATTAGAACGATCATTTCTGTTGTAATGCTATTATTCACGCATGATTTTTATTAAGAAAATATCTGACTCTGAATTTTTCAACGATCGACCATATTCACTGCTGTACAATTGAAATTTTCACAAATGCACAATTTTTCAAAATATATTTCTGAAGACACTTCATGTATATCGTTAATATTTCCTTTGTTTACAGTGTAACAGTAATTTATTTAATATAACACTAAAACTATATTGTGCCGATCGAAATCATCGGTTTCACATGATTTATCTTAAAACTGTTAGCTTATAAAAATTCTTTCGTAGGAAATGATTCAGCCAATTTGTTCATTCGAATTTATGATACGAAAGACGAAAGGTGTAAATAAAAATTCACTCTTGTATTTCTGATAAGGCAACAATTAGTTGCTTTTAACATTCGGTAGATTTAGTGTTTCAATAATTAGATTATAATTTAAACGCAATGGATTCAAATAACCTGCACTCATGGTTGTAACAATTGGACCGTTTATTTTATTTAAAGTGGTGCAAGTCCATTTTTTTTTTTTTAGTTACAAATAAAAAGGTTACGCTAAATTAATCTCAAACTATGTGATATCTCATTTAAAAAAAAGAAAAAAAACTGGACTTATATCCCCTTCAAAATAAAGGGTGCAATTAGTAATCGCAATGACGTCATGTTATTAATTCCAGTGAGCATTGGGAAAAATGAAACGGACCGAATGTTCCCGTTCAACTTGGGGCCGGTGTTCAGTCTCACTCCATACTACGAAATAACATTTTTCGTGCAGGTATTGCCACGTGTTCTATGTTTAAACGATCATTGCTATAAACCAATTAACGCTCTCGTTTCCATTGGTAACAGTCTTTGTTCGTGTACCAATCCGGTGTTTGCCATTTTTGCTTCGACAATGCTCTATGCATCATGAATCTCCACGTGGCTACACAGTTTCGTATACTGCAGTACAGACTGTCGAACCTGAAGAGTAAAAGTCGTCAAGACGATTCGGACGACCGAGTACCTAGTACCTCGGCGAATGCTTATGCGATTTTTAAGAGATGCGTCCAACAGCATCAAATGCTTATCGCATTTTGCAACAAGCTCGAAGAGGTATTCAATTTGATAGTGTTTGGACAGATGCTCATCTTTAGCTTGGTGATTTGCCTCAATGGACTGCAAGTGCTTATGGTTGGTAAACCAAAAAAAAAATGATCACAGATATTTTATAGACTGATGCGACGAGATTTAATTGTCTTTATGCTTTCTTCAGGCAAATACGAACATCGGCAGACGTTTTACTTTTCTATTTTTCCTTATGACCTCCTTCGTTCAGCTATTAATGTTCACCTACAGCTGCGACGGTTTAATTCAGCAAAGTCTGAACGTGGCAACGGCGGTTTATAGTGCCCCGTGGACTTACTTGCCCATGAATAAATACGGAAAAATGTTGCGGAAGGACGTTGTGCTTGTAATCCAAAGGTCCAGAGTACCTTGTTGCTTGACAGCAAAAGGATTCTTCCCTGTGTCCCTAGAAACATACACGAAGGTAAGAAACATTATTAGTATGTAGAACATTCAATCTAGTACAGAAATGGACTCTCTCTCTCTCTCTCTCTCTCTCTCTCGCTCTCTCTCTCTCTCTCTCTCTCTCTCTCTCTCTCTCTCTCTCTCTCTCTCTCTCTCTCTCTATTATGAGTATTTATTATTATACATATACTATACTATATTACTATTACTATATATACTATATATATATTATTATTATTATATATATATAATATATTAATTATAATAATATAGTAATAATATATAATATATATTATTATATATATAGTAGTAAGTTAGTAATATATATTATATTACTATTACTATATATATATATATTATTATTACTACATATACTATTACTATTATGAGTTTTTATAAAATAATTTAAGTGGAGCTAGTGAATAACACCGTTCTGCATAATAATTCCATTACTTCTCTTTGTCAAAATATTTCATGATAACATCATTATTGATATATATATTTTTATAAATTTTTTTCTTTAAAGAAACAAGCCATTTGCGTTTTCGACAACGATTAGATCTGAATTTTAAATAGCACAAGCGGTCTTCCTTCATTAGTTACGAGAAAGTTTATACTGTTAAACATTGAAATAAATTATCACAAGCAACTCTGATAGTACGTTACAAATATTTGCTGCTATTAATGCAAAAAAGACGTAAAACACGTGAATTATTTTGTCTCTTACAGGTATGGAGTACAGCTGCATCATACTTCACACTGTTGACACAGACGATGGATAATTTAGAAAATACCTAATGTTGCTATGTCGACGGAAGATCCCTAGTTTTTCTATATTAAAAAGATTGTTATCATTTTGCTGTACATGTTGAAAGGAACATGTTCACTGTGCGCATGTTACATTGTTTTACGAAAACTGTATATAAAAATCTTTCACAATACCGTCTCACTGTGTTCGTACGTTATTCGAATTGTCTCTCAATACATTGCGATCTCAAATTTTTCGCGAAGAATATTTCGACATCGTCGAAATTAAGCGCACTAAGGTAATCAAAAATAATTCTACATTAAATCCATTTTATATCATAATCGATTCTTTCTAGACACAAACTTTCTAGAAATATATTTTCTTCGTTGCAATTCTTTATAATGCTTTCTCAGTTTCTGACAGGAGATGTCGGGTAAAAACATTTGTCGTTTCATTTTACATCTTGAATTGTTTACTCTGAAGCAGTAAAAATAGTCCTTAGAATTAAGGACATAATCATGAAGCTCGAGGTAACAGAAAGATCCCAAATTTTTTATCGTTAATATTATCGTTATAATATTCATTATAATATCGTTATTAATATCATCGTATTATCATTAATCATAAAATGCAATCCACCGACGATTGGATCGCGGATTTTACGCAGTTATAATAAAAGTGAGTATAGCAGATTCAAAACAGTGGAGCCGTCTCATTAAAATCATTAACAAAAAGGAATAAATACCTATCGAGCTCCTGCATCTTGCAGTCGACGCAGACAATTCTTATTTCGCATAACGATCTGCAGTCTACTGAAAACGCAATTTTACTCGAACAGAATCCTCGCGAATACCGAACGGAAGGGATGAAGAAAGCGTTTAATCTCCTCGGCATGTAAACAAAGATACTTATCCGAGATAAAAAACGAACAACTTTACCTATCAGTTATCTCGCGGTAGCTCCCCAGTATCACGTTAGAACAGCCGCTGTCCTCGCGAAAGTTCAACTTCCTCTCCTGTTTCTAAGAAAAAGTACGGCCGTTCTTCATTTTTTTGCCGGAAGAAAAGCCTTTATTTATCGAAAGTTAGAGTTCGATCGGTAACCGCAGCTCGCTGTAAGAACACTGTGTTCCGCGGATCGTGAATAACTCATCCGTCCCTCACGCCGAATGCCTTATTCAAAACTAGCAATTGCGGTCGCACGTGGCGAGGACGGCCCTCTTGCAACAAAGCCTGAATTAGAAATGATGGCAAAGCAGATAGGAATAGGCGAATAACAGATGACCAGAGATCAAAGGCAGCTCGAATCGACCGTTTCCGATCTATGGCGATTATCGGAGGGAAAATCGTGCTCGAAAACCGAAATCCGGGGAACGACCGGCTGGCTGTTCGAAATTCGTCATGGGCTTAAGGCACGGCAAAGAATTCTCCATCGTTCTGTCGGCTGTCTTGATGAAATGTGTCGGCATCTGGTTTGCGGACAATCGTTCCGAGCAACGACTCAGGAGCGGCACGCTAATTTACACCATAATCGCCATTGTTTTCGGCGTGTGGGTGCAGGTGGAGGATCTCTTCCACTCGTGGGACGACTTTGGCGTAAGTGTGCGGCTGTTCTCTGGTTATTCCAAGAATTTTTATTTCTTTCTTTATTGTTCCTCTAGACTTTATTAGGACCTGGGAAGAAAAGAGACTGCCTTAATTTTCGAAATAAATTTAAAAATGTCCGCAATAATTGACGCGTTGGACGGGCCTAGCTAGCTTTGAACACTTTTTGTACAAGTTTCTATGTTCGGACTTTTGACAAGTCCAACTTGCTGTTCAGTTGTCGATTCTAATTTGTTTACAATGTTCAAGATGAACCCTCCAACCGTCTCTACAGTACCAATAACAATGTTACATCCACAAATCAGTAATCCAAATTTCAAGATAAAACATTCTTTTTCCTAGCTTGCACATAACTGTTCAATTGAGCCAAATTAAGTAGTATTTTTCGAACGCATCAAATTCCGTTTTATTTGCATATCAAGGGGTTAAAATATATACCATTGTATCTGGCAGATTCCACAGAATTATGCTACCTAACGTATATATATTATTACCTAACATATAATAATATATTCATATATATATGAATATATAATAATAATAATAATAATAATAGTAATAATATATATATATATATTACTATTATTATTATTATTATTATTATTATTATTATATATATATATACATATAATAATATATTATATGTATTATTATATATATATATATATATAATAATACATATAATATATTATTATATGTATATATATATATAATAATAATAGTAATATATATATCTGTCTCTTATACACATCTAGATGTGTATAAGAGACAGTATATATATACATATAATAATATATTATATGTATTATTATATATATATATATATATAATAATACATATAATATATTATTATATGTATATATATATATAATAATAATAGTAATATATATATCTGTCTCTTATACACATCTAGATGTGTATAAGAGACAGTATATATATACATATAATAATATATTATATGTATTATTATATATATATATATATATAATAATACATATAATATATTATTATATGTATATATATATATAATAATAATAGTAATATATATATCTGTCTCTTATACACATCTAGATGTGTATAAGAGACAGTATATATATACATATAATAATATATTATATGTATTATTATATATATATATATATATAATAATACATATAATATATTATTATATGTATATATATATATAATAATAATAGTAATATATATATCTGTCTCTTATACACATCTAGATGTGTATAAGAGACAGTATATATATACATATAATAATATATTATATGTATTATTATATATATATATATATATAATAATACATATAATATATTATTATATGTATATATATATATAATAATAATAGTAATATATATATCTGTCTCTTATACACATCTAGATGTGTATAAGAGACAGTATATATATACATATAATAATATATTATATGTATTATTATATATATATATATATATAATAATACATATAATATATTATTATATGTATATATATATATAATAATAATAGTAATATATATATCTGTCTCTTATACACATCTAGATGTGTATAAGAGACAGTATATATATACATATAATAATATATTATATGTATTATTATATATATATATATATATAATAATACATATAATATATTATTATATGTATATATATATATAATAATAATAGTAATATATATATCTGTCTCTTATACACATCTAGATGTGTATAAGAGACAGTATATATATACATATAATAATATATTCGTACGTAACGTATATAGCGGAAAAAATGTTTGAAACCGATCTTTATAATGACATAATTTTAGACTGTCGCATTTCAAGGTCCGTATCATCGGGCTACCTCCCCAAAATGTTATATTTTCCATGTTTTGCATAAAACTCGGCAATCAATTCATTACGTCCATTCGATATCGTCTCACAATTTTCTGAACCGTAGATAATTTATAAACGAATTATCGCTAAATCGTTACCGTTTCAGGCCCGAACGTACATCGCATGCAACATTCTATGCTTGAACATTGCTTTGTTCAAGATCTTCGTGATATCCCTGCAAAAGAAGAAGTTTCTCGATTTGGTTGAGTACATGGATAGAAATTTCTGGCACTCGAACTATGCGCCATACGAGCAACTGATCTTCATTAGTTGGAAACGTACTTGCACTTATTTCATCTGTATCTTCACCGTCTTCACGGAAGCTTCGATCATGTGTTACGCGATCAGGCCGATTGTGGGTAAATCAACGAATCCGTAGCAACGAGCATGATTATCATGGATAATTCTTATCAAGCGTTTTCAATTCTAGCAAATATTGGGAAAAATGATTCGGACAGGATACTTCCGTTCAACATGTGGATCGATTTACCATGGACCATAACGCCGTACTTCGAAATAACTTTTGTGTTGCAGGTGACTATCTCGATATCTCGATGATGACAATTAAATAATCTTCCTTCAAAAAGGAAATTAGTATTTTTGAACCTTCGGTTCCCATTACGGTACTTTCAAAGTTAACATTTTTTGTTCCATAAAATCTCTATCGATAGAATTTCATTTTATTCAAACTATTTATGAATCTTGATGAATATGAATATATATAATATGAATATGAATTATATTATAATATAATATTTTATGAATATTTATTTATGAATCTGCAACGCCGAAATCATTTTTGTAATTTGAACTTTTATTATAATTTCATAGCACTTTCGATATTCAAATTTGTTGCGTCATATGAACTGTATAATATAATATAATATATATATATATATATATAATAATATATAATAATATATATATTATAATATTAATATATATAATATAATATAATATAATATCATAATATTCCCGGGTCCTGTAACGGGAAAAGGGCAACTATCAAGATTTTACAAACCCCTAGGCCGAGTCACGCACCCCATAATCGAGCACCCAGGCATCAGAAGGGTGCCACTCGAAACACGACGATTTTTCCACGAATTTCAAATTCCATGTTGTTAAAAACAGTGGAAATTCAGGAGTGTCTTATAGTTTTGCCGCGGTGTGCAACATTTCACGTTCCTCGGGGAGTGTCCGTCCGAAGAGGGTGGTTCTTTTTCCCCGCGGTTCTACCCGCCGTTATAAACGGAGAAGCGACGTCGCATTTCTTGCGACGTTCACAAGACGTTCGAGATTTTTATAAGCGATTCGAGAATATTCTTCGAACCCCATGAACGATAACTATCGCAACGTATAAGTCAGTGAATCTTTTTTTATTCAGGTTCTATCCCTATATCACGTGGGCGTGTGTTACATTTGCTGCGACAATTTCATGTGCATCATGAATCTGCACGTAGCTGGTCAGTTTCGTATATTACAAAACAGATTGAAGAACATGCACAGATTGGAGAGCGAGAAAGAGAAACATGAAAATTGGAAGAATTGTTCGTTGAAGTCGGGGGAGAAAGATTACTACACGTTCAAAAGCTACGTACAACAACACCAAGCACTCATTGCTTACTGTGCTGGGCTTGAACAAATCTTCAGCCCGATCGTGCTCGCACAAGTGCTGACTTTCAGCATGCTGATCTGTTTCGTGGGATACCAGGCAATTTTGGTCAGTATGGTCACCAATTTTCTGTATATTCTTGCAATTATATGCAATATGTTGTTGTTGCAATATGTTAACTATTTAAACTGAAAGCTGTTGTTATCCGAAATCCGATGTGCCTATTGGCGCTTGCAACACGTGCTTTTTTTAACGGTTTTATAAAATATAAATAAATTTAATACTATCAAAATTATTTCGAATCGCGTCATTTGTATAGGAATTTTTACTCATGTATCAGAATCCTTATTCGAGTGCAAAAGATTAAATCATTGTACGTATGAATTATTGTATCTATAATATTTATAAAAACTATGTGGCACTGCGTAAGAATACAAATTTGACAAGCTATAAAATTCAAGCTAGTTTGTAATAGAATATGCAATCCATTAATTCATACACGTATGAAGTAATGATCGTTATGCTGCTCTAATGAGTATTTATGAAGTGTAGTATTACTGACCTAAACTTGCCTATTTTATTCGATTTTATTCTTAACTTGTCGCACTTGTGTTTCTGATTCAACTGGACCACACAAAACACACACAGGCAGACGTGGCTTTTACGAGGCGTATCATATTTGTGAACCTCTTGACGTCCAGTATGTGTCAGCTGTTGATGTTCACGTACAGTTGCGATTGCTTGATACGAGAAAGTGCAGCAATATCTCCAGCGGCGTGTGCAGTGCCATGGACAAAGTTCCCTATGGATCAATTTGGGAAATTGTTTCGAAAGGATTTGCAGCTAGTTCTGATGAGAGCGAGGCGACCTTGTTGTTTGACAGCCAACAAATTCTTTGCCGTTTCACTGGAAACATATACCAGCGTAATTATGCCAGACATCTTTTCATTTATCGATCAATAGTCTGACGAAGACATTTTTTACATTTTCGTTATAGGCTCAGATAAAAATAGTTAAAAAATGAGAGCTTTTTATTTTTTTGTCATTTCAAGTAACAGCGAAATTAAAGAGAAAAGTATTTCAGTCGTCATCTAGTTGACTAGTTTCTCTATCGTCTGAAAAAAAATTCAGGTCATTCAGTTCAGTTTTGAAATAGTTATTGCGTTTTAAAAGGTGTACGAACATTCTTGTGGGTCACTGTTCGTAGACAGAATTCAATGCAGTAGTAGCAACAGTTTTATATTTCAAAAACCAAGACCGACCAGCACATATTTCAAGGTCATTGAAATCAGTGACAGTATATGCTTTCGACAACTGCACTCAAGCTTATTACAGTAACTGTATATAGATAATAACATGGGATTATTTGAAATCTTCAAAATTTGTTGTTTTATTGTGCGTTTGAGATTTACATTGTACGTTAGCTACAAATGCACGAATCATCTAAAGGTTCTTTATATATAATATATATAATATATATATAATCGCAACTCTGTGTTTCAGGTACTGAGTACTGCGATGTCATACTTCACTTTACTGAAACAGAATTCTTCTCGCATATCCGATTCGTAATATTTCTTATATGAATGACAACGGACGTGTACAACTTTTTACCTCAGTACATTTTATTATTGTATATTTTATCTAAATCAACATTTACATATTGTACCCCCTTTCTTGAATAAATAAATTATTTGTGAAATTCATAAGCATGCTTGTAGATAAAATAGTATAATATTTAAAAGATACATTACGCCTTCCTTTGAAAAGTTGAACCTATATTACTGCAATAAAGTCTAAAAACATAATTGGCAAGGTTCACGGGCATCAGGATAGTTTCATTTATAGACAAATTTTACTAACCTACTCTAGGCCAATGACACCTTTTTTTACAATAATCCTGCAGGGATTATTTATATTTGTGATGAGTAATTCTCCCGCTCCTACTTTCCTGGAAAAAAGTCATAAAGCGGTCAGGAAACTGGGAGATTTGAACGTGAAATGACCCTGGAGTAAATCTACCTTGTAGTTGTTTATTATTCCATAGGGTGGCGTTCTTACAAGCTAGGTTCGTCTCTCTGCCGTTAACGGCGCTGGGATAGGAAATCTTCAAATCTTACAAATGTGCTACAGTGTGTTGGAGGATAGATCTCACAAATGGAATTGGATGATGCCGTTCTGCAGAATATTTCAGAGTAGCCTCCGAAAATGCTCTGTCTCTGTCACGTGTAAGTTAATTCCGAGCCCATGATCCAGTCTATACTGTAGCGTAGATGGCGCTACCGTATTATAGTCTCCGACAAATGGCGACATGAAAGAAATTCGAATATAAAATGTAACGTTATGGCCATAGTTGTATATTTCATAGCTTATAACAGCTAGAGATATAACGAGAGAGAGAGAGAGAGAGAGAGAGAGTTTCCATGAAATTCCTCGACGAGAGTTTACTTAGCGGAACACAGGAAAAGTCTCTTGAAAGATCTCCAATTTCATGTAAACAAAGTCAAAGCTCTGAGCCCCACAGAATAGGAAATCATAAATTACTACCGAGATCATCATCCAGTCTCTGCAGCACATCTCAGAGCGATCTCCGAAAATGTTCTGTCCCTGATTCTAAGTGAACCGAGCAGGGTAACAACTCTATATAATATTTACCCATTGAACAGATGCAAAACGATTGCGATTGTAGTTGCATATATATATATGTGCATGTAGTCGTACGTATTTTGTTATTCTCAACGCATTTCAACGCACTTTCATAAATTGTTGCATACCTATATATGATTATTTCATATAAGAAATTTTATTGTGATTTTGCACGCACATGTAATATTTAATACCCCATCGGTAACGCGAAGCCATAGTTTCATTTCTGTAAGTGTCCTCCGTGCTGTGGATGAAGCTAACATTATAAATTTGGTGTAAGCGAACAAACTTAGTGGGAGTTTTTCAGTGACTGTAATTGTATTTGATATTTCTTCTTTGAAGAAATTGTGACTTTTGGAAAGAAAAATATGGAAGCGGAACCTTTAGATCTTGAGGATGGCGAAATTATCGATGATGAGGTCAGATATATCATAATTCGATAATATGATAGAAATCTAACCTCTTTCAGCCAAGATGAAATTAAACTGGAACATTGAAATTCAAACGAACTTAAATTATTTCCATATAACTTAAGTTAATATAATTATAAATTCTACATATAACATTTTGGATAAGATACCTTTTATAACGGAATGTACTCATTAATTATTTCAATATATTTTTATTTAGGCAAGTGATATTGAAACGTATAACATTTTAAAAAGACCTCCTGCAGTCTCATGTAAAGAAGAACACTCGAAACTAGGCTATAATGACGAATCTGACGATTCCGTGGACACTGAAAGCGACTCTGACTCAGATTCAAGGCATGTCAAGAATAAAAAACCCAAGCTAAAATTAAAACGAACCAGAAATTCAACAAAAGGTTGGGCAAACACAAATGATAAGTATAAAATTTGGTGCACTCAAGTGCAAGAAGATTCCCTAACGGAAGATTTAGTATTATGTGGTGTAACGAAGAAACATTACCAAGAGCGTAACGTTGAAAATTATAATATTCCGCACCATTATTCCTTAAATGGTAGCTGGAATGTACTACAACATAACAATAATAGTTCAGAAGATGAAAAAGAAACTGAAAGGAGATCAACAAATAAAAGAACAAATTCAGACAGAAGTAATGTCAAGCTAAGATTAGGAAAGAAATATAATGCAATGGACGTAGATAAAAGAGCTGTAAGAAAAGTAGCAGACTTAAGTACAACAGTTGAATCAACTGATGCAGATGTTGCTACTGATATTGCATCTAAACTTAATGAGAAGAAAAATCTTTTAATAAGTAAGAAACATTGTTCTATTTTACATTTAATCATACAAATGACTAATTTGTGACTTACCATGTATATTTATATATATATTTTTTCTTTTTGCTTATAGAAGTAATTGTGAACATAATTGGTAAAGAAAAAGCTATTGACTTTTTCCAAAAAACAAGAAAGATTGAGGAAGGAGGTGGTTTGTTAACAATAAATGGATCTCGAAGAAGAACTGCAGGTGGAGTTTATTTTTGGCTAGTAAAAAACGATGAAGATATTCCGCAAGAAAAAATAAGAGAAATTTTTTACCCTGCCAAAAAAGAGCAAGCTGATCAAAAAAAGGCTGATGCTAGTACTAGGAGACAAAAGGCACAAGAATTAATTAAATGTTTAGAAAGTAAGTATTGTTTCATATTTATAATTATTATTCAAAAAAACATATTGTAACAAAAATATTTTCCATACAGATGGTTTTGAAAAAGATTTACCTACACTTTTAACAAAGGCCGAACTTTCTACAAAAGAAATAGCGGAAGAAGCAAGATTAAGACGTGGCGAAGGTATGGACAGGATGCCCATGGATTCTGATCGCACAGTGACTAATCCACCACCTAGTCCTGTAACAGATGATCCAGATCACTCTGAACATCCACTTGTACAAAGGCATCTTCAAGATTACGAAGAAGACTTCCTTGATATTGGTATCGATATAGATAGTATGGAAGTACTTTAAAGTTTATTACTATTTTTTTTGTATTTGCAGATGATTTGTACAAAATGAAATTCTAATCTTTGCAGAAGTTATACACATATGCGTGCACGCGCGCACGAACACTCACACACAAGTATGCGAATACAATTTACACATAGTTTGTACGTTTGCTTACAACATACTAAACATAAATATGAAATGTGATCAAAGAATGATCGATTAATTGCAACGACGTTCCATACTGTGATAAAATAATTTATCAGATGTACATGCTATGGTAACGTGCTGTGTCAGTTTCTTACATTTTCAAAAACGAGAAATATTTTTGTATAGGTTTCCTGTAATGAATTGATTCTAAAAAGAAACCCGAATGAAATCAGAAAGATATAATTGATAGATAATTCAAATATAATAAAATGTTCAGGCAACGTTAGTTATAAATGCAAGTGTAAACTGTGTTCCTTTATAAAAATGATCCCCAACCATTACATTGCAACTGGTTTCATAAAGTGTGACTAATTGATAGTACGATATCTAGATATAGTGCAGATATCTATGCAAAATGAGAAGTTTCTGTATAAAATTATTATAAAATCTGTATAATTTTAAAAAGTTGAAAATGATATATCGATGTGCTTAAATTGTTTTAATATTTTTAAATGCTTAAAATCCGTGGGCTAATGATATCAGTGTAATCAATAGGATAGTACTACTAACAATTGCAATGTTTGTGAGAGATAAAAGATGATTTTTCCAAAGCTTACATAGTTTTTATACCCAAATGTCTCAACAATATACATTGTTATGTTTATCATGTATCATGCTATTGTATTATAGCCAATCGTATTTGTGTGCCTCTCTACTATTTTATTTGGAACAGAAAGTCGAACATTTGTATCGCCCGAAGATACGTGCATTCGGTTTGACTTAATTCATTCCAGGTTAGCTATACTTCTTTTTAAGTTTAATTGAACACGTTCGTTCTTACCATTAAGAAAAATATAAAACAATGTAAA